TGCTTTCATTATATTCGTAACTGTCTCAACTCTAATCAAAGCCCAAGTACTTGAATCTAATCACCTCTAAATGAAACAGACAAACCCCAGATGTTTCTAAGGTGGAACATGTCAATTATGCTTAACTGGCCAAATGTAAAGATTCTTCCTAGAAGCTGTCAATTAACCCTTCTCCACAACTTTTGTCATTATATAAAGTAGCCTCTTCATCCCCCACAAAACAGAAGACACTAGCCACAAAAACCAGCAGCCTCAGCAACAAAACAGAAACAGAGCATAAGCATTGCTAGGTCTGTATTTGTTTCTGTTGTGCTAAGCAAAATGTTTGCCTGTATTTATGAAAGACATCAAACTTTGCTGGCAGAGGTTAAAACAAACCTTCCTAGTTTTATGTAGAAAATATATAGGTTTATGTGGCTACAAAATTTCCATCTCCTCTGAATCAGGCTATCTCATTTTGCCAGTAAAGAAGTGATAAAAAATGATCAGCTATGTTAAAAAAAATGTCCTCCTTCTACCTTCATTCTGATTAGGACATTCACAGCTGTAGTGAAAATATTTAAAACAGATTAAAAACAATGCATAAAAAATAAAATATTGCATTTTTGTGCCACCTATTAAAAATAAGAAATATTTTAAAGATATGACTTGCTTATTGCTCGTGATACTATTTTCATTGAGTAAGTGAAACTGTGATTGTATTATTTTGACACGATATATAATAATACCCAGAAATACGGATACTGATTCCAAGAATAATTTTTAAATCTTGTAAAAATTAACTTGTAATAAATTCAACCTGGAGGGTTGCCAGTTAGACTTCATCTGCCAGGTCAGTCATACTGAAATTGGCTTTGAAGGTCCAGACTCTGTGTCAGCTCTGATGAAGACGGCAGGTTTCTTATTTTATTCATTTCTGAAATTTAGCTGAGCAGAAGCGTATGTAACAGGAATGACTAGCTTTACACAGCCCCAGACTCTCCTTGCTCTCAGCTCACACAGCAACGCTGTTGGGAATACGGTCTGGGGACAGGTAGTAGTAGGGCAGCTTTTTGTTCTTGTTGCGCTCAGCGATGGCGCTGACAATCTCATCCAGGCTCTTCCGGAATTTTGCCATCGCCTCCTTCACTGGCTTCTCCACAAAGTGTTCATCCGGGTACATGCCCAGAAACAGCTAGTTGGAAAAGAACAAGAAATAATGCTTTTGAGTAAACAAAGGCTATACTGTCTCAACGTGATGTCATCCAGCAGAACAACACCCTATCAATATTTAAGCTAGCCTACATTGGCACTGCCAAGGAAAAATGCTGTCCCATCCTCCCTCCCTCCACCACTGGCTGCTTCTTTCCAGCCCTGCATCTTTCTGTAGTGCTACCACAGATGTCTATGTGGCACCTCCTCCATCTGCAGGGAGCTGATCCACTGAAAATTATCACTTTTATTCAGGCTAGTGGTCAGCCAGATCAGCTTCCCAAGCCAGATCTCTGCATAGGCACTCAAACATTTGTGCTGCTAAAGAAAAGGATGGCATGGGGGGAGGAATGAACAGCCAGGAATTAAAAAGTAAGATGACTGCTTCTTCCAGTGACAGTAGAAGCTTCTACTGATTTAAAATTGTCCTTCAAAGTTCAACCTGTTGCTTTAGTCAGCTTGGACTTGAAGGCTGCCCTGAATATTGCATTGCCAATATGCACTCTGGCACATTACTTGCTTTAGGTAACCATTTTGCAGGGTACTGTCCATACTATAGCTTCTCAGCTGAAATCTGCTTTCTTCTTAAAGAGAAACTTAATTTGAAGTACCCTCTGTCCATCATCTTCCATTTGAGGACTTAAAAACACATCCTCCAGATACACCCTTACGTGAGACAACCAAGTACCTACAACCTCATTTTACATGAGGAAAATGGTTGTAGACGATGCTTGCAAAGCCTCCCATAGGCTTGTTTTGCTTGTTTGCATTCTACACCAGCCAGGCACAAGCCACAGCTGTAGTGCACATGGCACTGGGGCAGATTTTCCAAAGGGACAGGACGTGGAGACACAGCAATACTGTAGCTTCTCCACCAGCACTGCTTCTGCAGCCCCCTTCCTTCCTTACCAGCCTCCTTACTCAGCAATGCCATGCTTGTGTTTAGAAACTCTCATTTTGGCTGAAACACAGCCTTAGAATAAAAATACAACTTCTTTCTCAGAGTTGGTTTGCATCTGGCAGAATAAGGGCAAGCTCACACCACTGACACATCTTCACAGAAAGGCAAACATGGTCAAGTCAAGCACAGAGGAGCACTGAGTTCTTGTGCTCTTGCCATGGCCCTCGTGGTCTCTCCTACAGCTCCACCACGTAGAGAAGGGAGATTGACTTACTTCATTGTCCTGGAATTGGCTCAAGGCCCAGACAGCTCCAAGATGCCAACAAGAACGTCCTCTGTCTGGCAGAGTCTCCACAATTTGCTCGATGGTGACTGTCCCCTTTTCTGTTGGAGGAGGGCGGCGCATTGTTGGGGGGGCATTGGGAATCCAAGAACACCAGTCATACTGCACAACAAAGGAAGACAGCACAGTGAAAATTTTGGAACACTGCAAAGAAAATCAGGAGTCTTGACACTAGGGAATTTGCTTTGTATATGAGACACTCAGAGAGAGAAGATACTAACTAAAGGACAGAGAGGTGCTCTAGAGAAGTACTGAGGGAGACAAGGAAGTCCCTACTGTCTTCCTCAGGATAGCACAAGGGAGAGAGTGGGGTTGTGTAAATGGGGGTAGTTATTTTGCTAACCACAGGCACATGCCAGACAGCCCAGATTCACTGAACAGGCTAAGGTCTTAGCTATTTTATTAAACAAAGATCTCTTCTGATCATCTGAGATGACCTCCAATAAAAAAAATAAATTGATAAAATCCTTTCTCCAGTTCCTATTTTCTGCAAAATTTGCTCTAAAACATGCCCACAGTGCTGTGGTCAGGCAGTAAGAGAGGCAATGGATGCTGGTGCATTGTGGCATATGCCATGTGAATGTGGCCATGGTGAGTGCCATACTGGGGACTCAGAATCACTTCTGGCCTGCTTCAACATTTTGGGATGATGGTGTCTCATTTTGCTTTAGATATGACCCCCAATTTTGCCACCATATAACATGTTGTGCTTACTGTAACTCTTCCTTCTCCAAACACTTTTTCATTATCTTTATACATGTCCCTTGCCCTGCCTGAAGGAAAATCCCATTTCAGCTGTATGCCATGCTTACACTGTGCTCATTTGGTTCTCTCCAATGCCTGGCCATCTTCTCCTGCCCTCAGCCCTCTCTGTCTGCCTTTTTTTTACCCATGGCTGCAGACTGTTGCTGATGGGCTGAATATCCTCTGCATGTCAGATTCCTCCTTGTATCCTCTGAAGGCTCTCTGCTAAACCCTAATAACCTGGTCAATATTAAGAGATGGTCATGGACGTTGCACAGGAATAGTGTGGGTTCATTTGATGCCTGACTCTAGACCTGGTCTAGGGCTTCTGAGCTGCAGGGCTGGACAGGTGGGTCAACATGGAGAGTGATGTGGGCTGTGTTTTGGAATAATCATCATAGGAAAGATGGTGTCATTGCTTATCTGTCAGATCTTCCACTCCTGAAGCCAGAACACGTGCCAAACTCCCCCCCTGCATAAAATCATAGAATATCTGAAGTCAGAATGGACCCATAAGGACAATTGAGTCCCACTTCCTGCTCCTTGCAGGACTACCTGAACCTAAACCGTACGACTAAAAGCATCATCCAGATGCTCCTTGAACTCTGACAGGCTTGGCACTTCTCAGGGGAGCCTGTTCCAGTGACCAACCACCCACCCAGTGAAGAAGCTCTGTGCAATACAGACTGACAAAGAGATTTTCTTCTGGATGTGGAGTCTGCTTTCCAAAATGCCTTGATGTTGGAAGAAACAGTATTTGAGAGGCAGGCTGTTACTATAGTTTAAGGGTATATATATATATGTGCCTTTACTCCATGCATTGGGAATATTAAGCACAATTGTGCTTTTGGAAACTTAACCATACATGACAGAAGCCTAGATCCTCACAGAGGTACTGCTTCAAATTTTTGTGTCAGTGGGAGTTAAGTGTCTAGATATCATTGAAGATCTGGACTCCTGACCTACTGACAGGACAGGATGACAAATGTGGCGTGCTGCTTTGGCACAGGCACACTGCCAAATTAGCACAGCTTACAGCACCAGCCCACAGTACTCCCCCGTGCACGCACTCACAGCACATACAAAGTACAGCCATTTAGTGTAACTCGTGTTTCTTTACAGATTGTGAGACAGGTGACCAGCTCATAGCATATCCAGGCAGTTCAGGTGATGTCTGGGAAGCACGGTAGCTAGACCGTGCATCTGAGACCTTCAGCATTTCTGAAAGCAATCCATTTAAAGACTTAAAAAAATGGTACCACATAATCATTAAAATGAAAATATACAAGTTAGAAATCCTAACATTTGAGTTTTGGTACATATTTAGGACTCAAAATGCCTTTCTCAGCTTCCAAAATACTTCCGTTTCCACAGGCTTCGTGGGAATTTGCAGGTGGCTCTGCAGTTATTTTGACCAGAAAGACTAAAAGCATTTTTCAGAGCTTGCTGTGAAAAATGCACCTCCCAGCCCAGAAAGAACAACCTTTCCAGAAATTCCTACCTGACCAAAATTCACAGCTGCATGCTGGGCTGATGCAGTGAATATTATCACCGTGAGATATTCTGCTAGTTTCTCTCGTGTTCTGATCACCTTAGGAAACCCTAAATGAGGGAAAAGAAAAACTTAAGTAATCCAGCTATGAAGTAACCCAAGTTATCCAGCAGTAACCAGCTACTCAAAAGGCAGGAGTTAGAGGAGCATGCAGCAGTCAGTGAAGACCAGGGGATTCTTTTTTCTGAATCTTCCTGTGTAGTCTCACAGGAGCTATTCAGCCTTTCTGCATCTTGGCTGTCCAGCTGTAAAAACAGAGTGATCCTGCTTTACCTCATATAGGTTTGTGAGGAATCGCCACTGTTTCCAAACTTATATTGTATTCTTTAAGGGAAAGGCCAAGTATAATTACAGCTTTAAAAAATATTTTATCCCTGTCCTCTCACCCTACCTACCCTGCAGCAAGGAACCCAGAGAGTCCACAGAGCAGGGACCTCAGATGCTCACTTTTTCTTCAGTCTGCAATGCAAGCAGGGAAGGTTCATGCCAAAGAGCAAATGACCACGTGCTTGTACCTATAAAGGTCCAAGGCTCAGCAACCAAGAGCACTGTGAGAAAGAGTGCGGGAAGAGCTGAAATGAGAAGTGAGGAAACGAGAACTTCTGAAAGAGAAACAACAGAATAAGGAACAGAAATAGTTGCATCAAGCTGTCTTTGAAAGGGAATAATCAAATGAAACTATACAAAGAAAGAAGGGAATGCTTAGGGACTAGCAAAATATTTTACTACCAAAGCACCCCTAAGACACTCACTCTCTCCTATACTCACTACATTAGTCCTGTGCTATACTCCTTGTCCCAGCCCAATGTGGCCACAGGTATAGATACCTATAGACCTGTCATCACCCTGGGGTGAGCTGCCCCTGCTCAGGCTGCCTGTGCCAGCTGCTTCACATCTCCACCACCAACCTGACATGGATGTGAACTCCATCTGAGAGGGGGGAGAAGCACGTGGCCAGACATCAAGCCCAAAGTGAAGAGGATGCACTGTCCCCTTCTGTGTCCTGCTATCTTAAGTACACTGTGCTCATCTTTAAAGGGGTTTGGCATGCTCTGCTACCAGCTTGCCTGGTGGTTTCAACAGCACATACAGACAGCCCCTCCCCTAATGCTTAAAGCATGTGTAGACAAGATCAAAGGACCAATACCCAGTGTACAGAGAAACCACACAAATTGCCCAAGCTCATGGTGAGAATCTGTGGCAAAGGAAGGAGCTGTCTCCTGAGGGAGGGAGGGCCTGATCCAGGGTCTTACCCATAGAACTGAGTATCTTTGCGCCAAGAAGGGAGAGAGTTTCCAACAGTTCAAGGCATGCTGAACATGCAGCACTGCTGTCAGCAGCGATTCGACAAGCTGCAGACCTGGCTGGGCTGTCAGACCTTACCTGAGGCCTTCACGCCCCTCATCCCATAGACGTAAATGTCTTTGACAAAGGCCTGGAGCTCCACATCCTCACACACCACCTCATCACTCTCGTAGTAGATGTGAATCACATCCTCTGTGAAACTGCAAACACAGAAACAAATGAAAAAGACAAAAGGAGAAGGAGAAAGCAAGCCTGCCATTCCCTGAACACCTACATACCTTGCAGAGGAGTCAGATGCTGCATAGTGCCAGAGCAGGTCTGAACACTCTCCTACCTCCTTTCCACAGGAGTGGAAATGCACAGATGCAACTTTAATTAATTTCTGACTGCACCACTTCCTCCCCCTGTAAAAAGATGCTGGACTGCACTGCATCCCCTGAACAGTCCTGTGAGGTTTATTCTCTTATCTCGGGCTTTGTTCCTGGCCAAACATCTGCCATCACATCTACATTCTTTCTTCACTCTACCATATTATCCACATGGCTCTGAAGTGGTGGGGTTAATCTCTCAGCCCTGAATGAGGGGTGGCATATGGATGATGTCCACAACCAGGCAAAAAAGGCCCTCCTGATTGGTTTTCACCCAGGGTCTGGCCAGCCTTGAGTGGGAACTGATTAGGAGATCACCACCAGGTGCCCCCACCTTCCACATGAACTTGGGGGTGGAGAAAGAAAGACACCTCTATAGGAGCTGGCTCTGCTTGAAGTGGGGCTGTGAGGCTTGTCTACACAGTGTGTGTACTGTGTGAAGATTTTGGCTATTGGAAGGGCTCCTTGAATCTTCATAGCAGAGTGGGGTTCCTAGGGTGGCAGTGACAGAACATGAAGCTGTCTCTGAGTCCCTGCTATGTAACTGGGCTCATGGCCTGGCTGCTGCCATCTCCCATGGCTTGGCATCTTGGCTGGCTTGCTCCCTTCTTTGTGCCCACTGTAGTGGGTGAGTGCATTGGCTTGTTCCTCCCTCTGGTTGTCTGGCACTTTAGATCTTTGGTGTGTGATGTGGGAGTGGAGGGAGAAGCTTGGCTGCTGGTCTGCCTGTTAATGATAATATCATTCTATATTGGGCAAGTGGTCAGCAGAAGAGGCTTTCACACTGGGAACAGAAGTTCCCAGACTGTGATACCAGCAGCATCCCTGTTATGTAGGATATTCCAAAGCTGCTTCTGAACACCATTCAAATAGTTGATCCTCTCCTACTGCACATTCTTTTCACAAAATGCAAGTGGCATACTTCAAAGTGGGGACGGTCTAGGAAGCTCCTCTTCAGAAGAAGTGGTCTAGAGCTTTTTCCTACATCCACTGCAGACAGCAGACATCTCCTCCCTGTTCAGACCCTCTTCTCAAAATCCCTTTTTCTATAAAAGCTTCCCTGGCTAACCCAGAAAGAAAGGCTCTCAAAACACTAAGAGAACAGAAATATTTCTGAAAGCAGCAAAAATAGGTAAGCCTGATTTCCTGGAGATTTGTATTTCATATCTGAATGACTGCTTAACTAAGCTATGCTGAGACATTCTAGTAGCTCTGCTGGTACCTATAATGTCTTGCTGAATATTTTGATGACAGCCCATAGAGTGAAACATTTGACTGTGGAAGCTGACTGATAGAATTAAGAATTGTTATCCAATACAGATTTCTTCCCTAATAAACATTATTTAATAAATACATTTATTGCATTTTTACATACATTTATTGCAATTTAGAGAACTTTACAAATCTGTTAATGTGGTTTCTGTTAGCCAACCAAATCAAGAGCTGTTACAGAGTGAGAGAAACAACTGCATAAACACTAAGAGTTTAAGTAATTTTGGGGTCCAGAAGAGGACAAAGGAAAACAAAAATCCTGCAACATGCAGAGATAAAGCAGCCCTGCATGAGCTCTGCCTCTACCACTTGGCAGATGTGCCAAATGCATACAGAAGGTAATCCTCTTACACAGGAGCAGTATATAGCAGGAGTAGAATTTGTATGGACCCACTTCCATACAAATATAAATTAGTATATGAAGTATAGATGAGGCCTTTTAGTTTCATGTCCTAGTTCGGGGTAAATAAAACTGGTTCTATTCAGTAATTTTACTTTTTAGCTAAAGTTCTTCTAATTAACTGCTCTGTCTGAATTAACATTTTCATAAGCTATTTGGCTATAACAATAATAAAAATTCATATTTAAAATTACTACCAGGAATTAGTATGCAGACCAAGGCCACTAATAAACTTAAATCCCACACGGAGGGGGACAAAGAATACCCCACACCTACAGGGAGAAGCGAATAGAACCACGACAGTTGGGATATCTACCTGCAGTTAGATTAGAAATAAGAAGCTCAGTATTAGAGAAGGGGCTTAAAAACTTGCCATGTGAGCCTCATTGTTTCTAGGAGAACAACCTTATCAGCTTTCTTAAGTCTAGGCCATCTATCACATGTGAAGCAATGCTAGAGATAGACATTAATTAATCAAAAGTGTGGAAACTGGCTCCCCTGTAGAGTGTAGGACACTGATGTTGACTAGACACATGCATTATTTTGGGTTCATGAGTCAGGATATCACACACTCAAAAGGCTACTGTTAACACCATTTCTAAACTAAGTTATTCACTTATGAAGAATCTTTCAGCCAGGTTTGTGTCCGTGTAACACCTTCCTCCAGCTAGGTTAACACTCATAAACAGTCAACCTAAACTGAGTTGACCAAGTACTATCTGGTATTTGAAATGGCATCAGCAAAGAAAACACAGGAAAGAGAAGAGGGACAAAAACCAAACTACATCAAGATATTAACTACAGAAAAGTTATAACTTCCTTTTCTGCCAAATGGGCACTAACAATTGCAGGAAATATTGTAAGATAACCCTTTGTAAAAACAGAGAGAAAAGGGAGACAAACACAGGAGACGAATATGTACCCGATTCTTTAAACATTATGCTTGCATTATAAACCCCCTACTTTGTGTACACAAAAGATCTGATTTTTAATGAACATGTTTTTCAAATCCATGTGACAAGAAACAGCTCCGTATTTAGCAAGCAACTTATGTCATGCAAAAATACATTGTTTGTTAAATGAAATGTTGCTATAGTATAAAAAAAAACATAAGAAGTAGTGCCTCAAAATGGAATGATTCATGTGTGAAAAGGAGACACATTTGTGTGGTTGAGAAGCCTTGCAGTACCTCTCCTGACTCAGAATTGATGCCTTTCCTGATATATCTTGAAACTTGCAATTTTAAGGCGTTTTAAGAAAGATTTTGCCTGAATCAGTTAATGTCTAATTTACTGAATTTTAAAAGACAACTGTCATGCAAGCCAAGCTGATATTTCCACCTCACAAGAACCTAGATGAACTCACATGGCTGAGTCAGAGAGCTGGCTTCTCTCTTGGTTTGCACATAGCTAAAAAAAAACCCTAAATTCCTTTTTTAGGGCTAAATTCCAACTCATTAAACTCTGTGAAATCCCATGGAAGAGTTCATACTTCTAAAGGGGCTTCTGAAGTACAGAATGCAAGAAAACAGAGCTGAAATAAAGCAGGAATTAACAGTCTGGGGTGTGTGACTGACTATTTTTCCTCACATGAGGCATGCCAGTGGAACAGGCGCCGTGTGACTACACAGTGCAGGTTCTGTTCACAAGGCTGTGATGAAGAGCAAAGTGAGCAGAGAGAAAAGGAAGTTGTGTCTCTGTGACATTAACTTTATTAGCCATTTCTGGAACGATGCTCTCTTACCTTTTTATAGCCTCCCAGACTTTAATGCCGTCATCCCGGTAATAATAGTAGGGGATGTCCTCTTTGCTGTCCATACCTTTAGCTTTGATCTCCTCAGGGAAGCAGAGGGAGCTATAAGTCAGATCCTTCACTGCTTTCTGCACCATTTGTACATGTCCTCCTCCACCTGTAGCATTTGCCTGTGGGAAGAATGGCAAGACAGGAACAGTAGGAGATTATGTTCCCTTTGTGCCAAGATTGGCTTTCAAAATTTGCAGGAGATGGTATTCAAAATGCTGGTGAATCTGTTTTCCAAGCTGCTGCTACACACAATGGTTTAGAAGAAAGAGTTTAGGGATGCAGACTACCATTAGCCACCCTGAAATTTAAGCCAGGAGATCAATCTTGCTGGGTGCCTACTAGTGAGGATTGGCCAGGGTTTCAGTATATGTTGGTTGCATTTGGAAAACACAGTGCATCCTCAACAAACAGCACTGCAAAACTCTTTAGATAATCCCTCCACAAAAACTCCCAAGTGTTATTTTTCTAGCATATGATGCTCATGTTGTAGCAGTAGTCAGCTTACACTTATTGTCCTCTAACTGGTTGCTCATCTGCACTGGAACCAAAAATTTCTAGAACTCCTGGATCCCCACTGTCAGGTTTTAGCCACAAGCTCATCCCACGTGCATGGGGTACAGAGACTATGCTTCTGTTCTGATGCCTGTCAGCAGTGGAGTACAGAAGACAAGGAAAGTGCCTGGATTTAACTTTTTTTTTCCTTGAGTGAAAAACTCTGGAGCGTGGAAGCTGTTTTTGGACTCGTGACAAAGGTCTAATGGGGACAGAGTTGTCCTGAAACGTGAGCTCCCTATTTTCAAGGACTTCTGAAACCTGCCAAACTTCCTATTTGCTGCTAACATGTTGTCAGAGAGACAGCTGTATGCCAACCTGTTGGGGTTCCTAGATACAGCTTGCCATTTCTGGGGGATCCAAGGGAGGGAGAGCTGGATACATGTTAAATACTAGAACAGTCAGATTTAGATGTTCAGATTTGACCTAAGAGCTGCACTGCAGTCCACGATACACAGCTACATTTCACTGACTCAGATGAAGCTGAGTTTTAATCCTAGCAGATCTGCTGGTTTTGGCAATTTGAGAAGACGGGTTACACCCACTATTTGTGTACTTATAAATCTATCTACATTACTTTCCCTGATCCTATTGCCTTTTGCAAACACAAAATTTTTTGCCCACCACCCTACCCTTAGACAAATGAGCATTTAAAAGAAATTGGGGACTTAACTGTGTGCGTACATATGCAGGGGTGTATGTTCATATTATGTTACCTTGTACTCCCATACTCATATCCCAAAGCTACATTAGCTATGAGTAAGTAAGATACTAACTCACTACTGATATTGACCTGTTCTGAAATCACTACTTAGAGGTAAAAGCTAACATCTTTAGCACAACATGGCATCAGTTCTCTGTGCCAGTTTCTCAGGTGATATTAGTTATATTTGTCTTTTAGTAGAGAGATCAAGAAACAAGGCAATATATAGGATAAAAACCCATACAGAACCATAAAGAATAATGAAGATTTGCAAAGAGGATCACCTACCTTGTCAAATAGGCCACATTCACAGATAAGCTGTTCTCTGGCTTTGGTGTTGATGGCTATTGTGAACCGCATGTGTGGCACCAAGAGCTGTGAAATGGGACAAACAATGAAAGAAGGTAAATTCTCTGATTGAATTCAACAGGAACCAGGTGTAAAGCTTGAAGTTCTGAAGGCTTAGCTGTATGTTACCTTGTAGGGCAGCCAGCCAAACTGCCTCAGCTGAGCTGTTACCACGTGTTCCTTTTGGTTTGTCAGCTAATGTGATAACCTCCCTGACTCGCACGTCTTTGTGCAAGAACCCACCTTGAAGAGGGGATGTACAGCAGGCAGCTGCCGGAACATGGCGATGCTGAACACTTCTGAGACTAAGTGTGTCCGTAAGAGGTGGGTCACTGTCTGGTGGATGTGGAAATCAGATGAGCGAACCCAAATTTTAGCTAGCAGCCAGTCATATGTAGCATCTGAGGGAAGGAAGATAGGATTATCTGGCCCAGGCTTTTGACCAAGCTGAAAGATATAAAAAGAAAAAGAATCGCCAAGTCATTCATGCGTAAGGTGTGAGAACAACCAATGTGTCCCTTTAAAGTCCCTGACTGTAAGCCCACCTGGATTGCAATGGGTACAATTTTATTCTCCAGATTCTTATACAGCAGACAGATGGGTGCAGCCAAGTACTGTATTGTGCACGGGTCTGTTTTATTGGCATCCACACCATCCAGCAGCTCATAGTCCACAATGAAAATGTTTCCTTGCTGGGGAAAAAACAAAACAAAGCAACAAAACAAAACCAAAACGTGATGTGTTTTAACAGAGTGCAAGCAGCAAGGATTGGAAGAAAGGTTGAGAAGTCTGGCCAGAGTGGTTATGAGCAGCCAATGGCCCACCCTTGCTCATGGTGGCTCAGGGATGATGCCATTGAGACAGCAAGCACCTTTACACAGACTACCTGACTCGTGTCTGATAGTGAGGCTATCAGCAAGGAGAAACTACATACTTGGTATTCATGCAGTGACACTAAGATGCAAACAGGTTTCACAGAGTCAGCTGAGACCCCCTGTGCTCATCATACAAACAAAAGCAAGGCAGCACCCTTGCCAACCCTTCTTCTCCATGTTAATTCAACTCTGAAGGTGACAACAGGGTAAGACCCTGCCAGGAAAGGAAGAGGCACTTCTCACCTCAGAGGCAGTCAGTCAATCCCTAACCTTTCAGAGGAAAGCACTGAAAAAGGATCCTTCACCTCCTGGTGACATTCCTTTAATTGGACCTGGAGAAAGGCAAGGCCTGTAGCTCCAGGATAGCAAGACAAAATAGTCAACAGAAGAGACAACCAGCATTGTCATGATCAACCATACAGGCTGAAGAGAGGACGTGGCTGAGGGCAGTTAGAATGGAATTTGGAGGTTAGAGAACACAAGAAGGAACAGATGGAGTCCAGCCTGAATCAGAGCCATACCTTCACCTCCTCCTCCAGGGTCAGGTTCCTCTCCAGACTACATTCTACCATATCCATCGTTACAGGCAACTTCTTGGGTATCTCTGTGCATCTCCGGATCAGCACAGGATTGCATCCATTCAGGAACTGGTAGCCAAACATAAAATCTTCCTTCCAGTGCTGCATCACGTATTCTAAAGGAAAAACAAGCCCACAGCATCAATATCTGCATCGCATCAGTATCCTACTGCATTGTAGGATTCATCCTTCTTGGAAGGATATCATGGAATATCATGGAAAATATCATGGAAGACCACCTTCTCAGGGATTCCATGATATTTTAAAATCCCACTCTTCACATTCGCAGGGCATGCAGACAGAGGGATGAGTCTAAAAACAGATGACACAGGCAGGAGAGGGGAAATACAGAGCAATGTGGATAGGGGAGGAACAGCAGCAGCTGGAGCAGTTCTCTTAGCTGGGTCTGGGTGAGGGATACCCAGGGAAGGGGTTTGACTTTGACTCAGTAAAACTGCTCATACATTCTTTTGCTTGTTTGAGACTTTTTCCTCTCTGTTTACTTTTCAATTGTTAATATAAAGCCAGATCAAGATCTCTTCTTAATAAAATGCTCGTTTTGGGTACTCCATCTCCTTACTATTAGATATGTAGTACTACAGGATGTTTTCCACAATTGCAGTGTTCTGTTTCATAGCATCATGTTGCCACTTCAACCTACAAGTTCAGAGTCAGAACAAACAAGATTAATGTGAAAAATCCAACCGATATCCACAGAGGAAAAATGAAGCAACTAATGTATTCCACAACTGCCTATTTTCAGATAAGGCAGAACTTTTTCTGAAAGCAATTTACTTTTCTACAAAGGATGACAGGATGGAAATGATTGGCTTGAAGGAACGCAGTGATAATTAAAAAACAGTCTAAAATTCACAATGCTTTCTAACAGACCGGAAAAAAAAAGTTTATTTAAAGTTGACATGAACATCATCACTGTCAATTGCATAATGAGTCTAGAGCTGTAGCTGAAGTCTACACCACACAAAAAATGACTCATCACCTTGGACAGAACCTGCATGACTGAAAAAATGCCTTGAATGACCTGTATTAGTCCTGTTTCTGCCAAGGCTTGCAAATAAGCAGATTCAGAGTTACATTAACATAATGAAGACCAATGCTTAACAATTAAAACTCAAAGAATTGGAGCTTTCCTCATGAGTATGGAAATGTTATCAATTAAATTAATTGTAGATAATATGTAATTCTTGTGTTAAAAGTACATTCGTAAACAATCTTATTAAATTCTATGTAACAAATTGCTGTCATTAGTTTTTGGTAGCTTGAGCCACCTCATGTGCTTTATTTTATAAACAAGACTGCAAAAATTACTCTTATTTCTATTAATTGGTCCTTAAGCAGCCTGAAGATGAGCACAACTTTAGAGCAGAACGGACAAGTATTTTCCTTTGCAGAGTCTGAACAGGCTATTCACACACACTAACCAATTTATAGTATCTGTGTATCTTTTATATGAAATAATACAGTAAAATAAAGTTAAATAATGTAACCATAGGTGATAGTAGAAGGTTGGGTCTGACTCACAAACCAAAGGCTTCCCAGCCCTGCTTTACAGAAGTGACAGCATGAACTTCAATACTCATGTCTGTCTGCAATTCCTTTTACTGTGTTTTCAGGTAACTGCTAAGATGTCCATATCGAAAAGGCTTAAAGAAAAGAAGTATTTTGTCTTTGGTGTGTTAATACTACCTCAGTGGAGCTTTCAACAACATGAGATACACTGCAGAGACTGAATGGCCCTGAAACCAAAAGAAACTCACACATTGATTTTTATCTTCCAATAAGGTGTTGAGTATGAAATGGCAAGAATAGAAGGACTTCTAATGCAATATGCACAACTAATTCTGACACATTTTTGAAATGAGATGACAGTTTGGATAAATGTCACGAGTCTTTTCAGGCCTAGCTCGTGCTAATTTCCAGTAAGAACCTCAGTTCTTCAGGCTGTGGTCTGATGGTCCAGCCTGGCTGCAGCAGAAACACATGAAGAAGTTTCAGCTCCCAGGTCATTCTCAGCTCTTTGCTACCTTTCTCCAGATCTGCTGGGCTAGCAGCATGGGCTTTCATGCCTGAAACAAGTTCTGTCAAAATGACCTCTGTTGGGAAAAATTTACTGCTGAAAAGCATTTGAGCTACCTGATGTCATTTGACACAAACAGACGAGAAGAACTGAGGGGAGTTACCGGTGATGACAGGGAAAGATGAAATGGCCTCAAGTTGCAGCAGGGGAGGTTTAGGTTGGATATTAGGAAAAAAGTCTTCAGTGAAAGGGCTATCAAGCACTGGAACAGGCTGCCCAGGGTAGTGGTTGAATCATCATCAGCCCTGGACGCGTTTAAAAGTCATGTAGATATGGTGCTTAGGGACATAGCTTAGCAGGGAACTTGGCAGAGTTAAGCTAGTGGTTTGACTTGATAATCTTAAAGGTCTTTTCCAAACTAAATTGTTCTGTGATTCTATGATTATGACAGTAGAAATGAGGCAATGGCACCCTACCCATGTTGGGACAGGGTCGAGGAGCCAGGACTGTTAGCAACAGTACAGCCAAGACTGAGCACACGGTTGGGATGTTAGGCAACAGCCTTTGATCTGGTCTGTGTAAGAGGCAAAAGGGGTCACTCTCATACTTGCCTTTAGGAGGGAACATTTCCAAATGTGCCTTTTCAAGACTTTTTATGCATTTAGATGACTGAAGTAGGACATACGTGATCAAACTTTTTAAAATGCCCTAATAGCTAATATGCTCTGAAAAGCACTTCAGCTAAGCTATCTCTATGTTTAGATGAGAAACACTTACGAAAATTTGTCCTGTGGGACTTGTGCATATCTTAAAATACATTTCTAAAAGCTAAAAGGGACTGTTATGCCTAACTGGCCTGCCCTCCAGTATAGCTCGGGACCCAGAATGTCACTGAGCATTTCCCAATAATTTTAGTTTGTGTGAGGTCATAGCTTTGCTTTTTGATCTTGCAGGCTGCTGGTGTGATCAGCAGTCTGAGATTACAGTTTATTTATGAAAAAACATGGTAGACCAGAAATGCAAGTCAGTCACTTCCATTCTAATCAGATATATACAAGACAACTAATTAGTCATAACACAATGCAAACATGAGTAAATGCCAATAAACCCACCGGAGATTGTGTTGCTTATTCTGACAAAGATCCTCTCAAAATCTGCAAAATCACTCCAGGAGGACTGGAACATGTGCATGAAACGGTTGATATAAAGATTCTCCATCCTAAAACCAAACCAAAACGACATCTCTGAAAAAAAAAATAATTTCCAGCTTCCTTAAAACTCTTCTCCATTCTTTCACACCCTTTCAAATGCCTACACACAGCAAATTTTTCAGTGGTGGAATGTGAGATTAGTCACCCTGCAGAAAAAAATTTTCTGGCTGACCTTCACATAGAAATCTAAAAGGCATCCGGAGGTCCCAGCTCCTGCTATTGCATTTACTGAATTCTGTTCTAAAGTTGTCCTCAGCAGCCTACAAGGGCAGTGCTGTAAAACCTATGTAATATAAAAACTGGACTGAGAAAAACCAGTCCTTCACACATTGCCAGTAGTTAGCATCAGCTGAGAATACTAAGATCATTATCAGCATCAGTTCAGAAAGGGGTATGGTGGCATAAGAAAATCGAGTAATTTGCACAAAGCCAGAACACAACGCGCAATCAGTCAGTAATCCTAAACAGAGAATAGCTCCTGTAAGTATCTACATAACCAAGGCCAGACTGGATCCCTACAGCATGAGGCCTGAGTTTTTGAGAGCTTTCTATTTACTTGAGCTGATGGTTAAACTTGACACTCATCTCTAACCTCAGGAACCAAAGTCACTTGGCTGCAGACATCACACGCACATCAGAGGGCTGGGAGCCAGAAAAATGCTGAAGAGTGCTAATTCTGCAAGGCATTCTGTCTACAACACAGTCAAACAAGTTCACCTGGTATGAAGCGACAAGTCCTAAATTGTTATTTATATGCTAAAATGTTGTTATTAAAAAGAAAATCTATTTTGACCAGCAAGCAAATGATGAATTTGAAAAAGAAAGCTGCCTTTCCACTAACATTTCAAACTCACAAAGAAAAGAACATGCATGGTACAAAGATAAGCAGGGCAGATAACAGAGTAAAGAGAAGCCACAGTGTTGCAGGAAATCCTCCCAAAGAGAATTTGAGACGAAGAAACACAAGAGGGTGGATTTACAATCGGTCAACTCAGATAGAGACACCTTAAAAAGAACTGGAACAGAAGTGGCTGAAGAGGACCAAGAGCCTGGAAAAACAGCAAGTGGTAATCTGGAGAAGGGCTCTATAGCAATACAACCATAAGCCAGACAAAGGAGCTGGTTCTGCACTGAGCCCAGGCAGAGTGCATGTAGACTGGACTGCTGCTGCTGCTGCAGACACAGTCAAGATTAAGAGGTGCCTGGAGGTATGCTAGGAAGTAAAACTCTGACAACTGCCTAGCTTGGAATAGGTGGTGACTTGTAGAGAGGTCTCTTCACACCTGAGAGGGACACAGAATGATTGTACAAGGATCAAAAGGAGGGTAGCTACTGGACAGGGCTTTCCAGACAGATAACACGTGTTAGATTTACAGAGAACTTCAAGAGGAACCATGACTCAGAACAGAAGTTTAAATGACTTTAAACTGAGTAGCTTGAAAGGAGCTAACCTGAGACTGTCTCATTTGAGAGTTTCCACTCAAGGTCCTGTAGAGCTTCTGCCCTCCTTCAGAACTGCTCTCAGATTAGGAAACATGACATTAGACACATGAATGAGTAGGAACTGATCCTTTCCTGCCCAGGGTGTTCTTCCTACCTGGGGCTATTAGCCTGATCAAATGAAGCAACAGGGACAGCACCTGGGATCTAGTCTGCTGTGGTTTGACCTGCTGAATTCCAGGCATACGTTCATTCTCAAATGTTTCAAAGTGTACTTCCTAAAGGAAGTAGTCTTTCACATTTCCTATCTTGGAACAAACTTTTCCTAAGTCTTTTGGAAATAAAAACCTGTTTTCCTCAAGAAATAGATGTCTCAGGTACACACTAGAAATTAGAGCCAGGAAAAAGTAGCAAAAGTTGCTTGTAGAACAAGCCCTTTTCATCTGCCCAAAGTCATTACTGGTCCAAAATAGCTATGAAGCCTGCATTTCTGGCACAGAATTCAAGGTGAGGGTTTCCAGGTGCTAGATAGTGTAGGTCACATTAGCACAAGAAACCTTCAGGATTATCCCCACCTACACACAATTAATCCTTTAAATTTACAGAGAGGAGCAGGGAGCAGAGGAGAAGGAGGGAGAAATCTACAGCAGAGCTAATAAAGCCAGGAAAAAAAATAAAAAAGTGTTCTTTGAAGCTTTCACTACTCCAAATTAGAAAACAAGCAGGTAGATTCTCTTGGAACAAGCTGTGCAGTTTGGCTTTGTGTTGGTAGTGAAATACAGCTGCATAAATGCAACAGCAAGAGTGCTCTGACATGAAAGGTTTCAGTCACTGTCAGTTCCCCAGATTAAGTCAAATAAACAAGAATTCACTCTTACTAGAAGCTGCAACTTTCTCAATATGGCTATTAAACTCCCTCATTCTTACCAGCCTATGCTTGAATCTTTGTCTGATCACCCTAATAACGGGAGGAACACCTTTCCAAAATACAGAGTCCTATATACTAACAGAATCATAGATGTAGAAATTGTGGGTGATCTTGCACCACTCTTGTCTCACCTCAGATTATCCCATGATTTGATAGTATGGTGGAATGGCTGAGACAGTATGATGGAACCTGGGCATGTGAGACAGCTCAGAAGGGGACTCACCGGCCCGAGAGGACCTATTTGCCTCATTAATTCTGTACTACTATTTTGAAGAGCTCTTCAGGATTCAGGCTCATCCAACCATTAGAAATCCATTTTTTTTTTTTCAATGACATGACACTTACAAGTGGGTGGGCAGTGACTTTGTTGCCCCAAGCAGATTACATTCAGATGTGGTTAACTGGTGGGCTGCTCAGAACACCTTTTCTTCAGCAGGGTCTCAAGGGTGCATTGGTACCATCTTCTTTTGGTATGTGACTGAAAAGCTTAATTGTCACACAGAGTCAGGGGAGAGAAGTATCTCTAGGGGGCAACTCCAAGAACTAAATTAAAAGCCCAGGTATCAGGTGCCAATAGTCCTTCTTCCTACGCTTTTCATCAGTTCCTCCTCCATCCATCTACAGCCAAAACAATGTCTAACAAGAATGCAGAAGCTCAGTCAGTTTCAAGTGTCAAAAGCTTAAAATATTAATATTTAAATAATGATTTAAAATCTCTTCAATTCTTTCCTACTTCGATTGACTGCAGATTCAGCTAAGAAAAATAATCCAATTTTGAGATTTCAATGAAACCTAAAAGGCAGTGAGATCCTTACCCTACCCCAAAAGACATTTTGCAAAACTCTTAGAGTTCCACAAACACTTACGCTTTAGAGTAGTTCAGAATGAAGTCAATTCCTTTCTCGTTGTCAAATTGGATATCACGAGGCAGATCACTGTGAGAATGGGCATCAATGCTCAGAGGAAAGCCTGGATGCCACTCCTTCCAACTGAGAAAACAAAAGAGGCTGGACTAACCATATAATCTTACCAGCATGAGAGCTGTGACATTCTTTCACCTACACTGCTTCTGTGACTCGTCTCTATAAAGAAACTTTGTAGCAGATACATTTAGGCCAAAACTAGTGACTTATACCACATTAGTACCTACCACTACCATCCAGAATCCTGAAGTACAATGGTATGTATCTACTTGGCCATGTACCTCCACAAAAGCTGAACTAATATCTGTGATATTTCCAAACACTTGTCAGATTTGGCTGAAATGGGAAGTAGCTTCAAATGTCTCGAGAGGGGAAGGGACAGAGCTGGCCAGCATGTGCTCATTCTTGGGGCTGCATTTGTGCAGAACTGAAATACAGAAGCTAAAAGTACTCAGATGTGCACTTAGGCTCCTCGAAAAGGCAACTGTTGGAGAGACATAAGACAGTTTTGATTCAGAAGAGCTTTACCTCCTCATGGTCATGGCACACATCTTCTGCCACGTACATTCTTGCATTGTGTCCCTTTTTTACTTCAAAACAAAAGAGACTATTTGTAAAGAATACTGTTTCAATGGCACTTCCAAGTTGCCTGCCACACAAAGACTGCATTATGTGCTATCAGTTATGTATCTGACTTGTAAATAGCTATTTCCCTGAAATTACAAATGGTTTTGCCTTCCTTTTTGCATACATAAATAAAATTTTGTGCCATACCTCTTCTTGAATTATATTTTTCTCTGCTCCATTTCCTACAATTTGTAAGCAAGATCCCATCTTAGTCAAATTACATCCATGGCACATACACTAAGCCTCAATCCACCCATTCTGAATAGACCCTCTGTCCTTCTGATCCTTACTGTCATGATAAGGAGATGAAAGTGGAATAAATTATTGTTATTTTAACACAAAGTGTGTCTCTAGGGAAAGGAAACGTCTAATGCCTTCTGGAGTTCCCCAGTAATAAAAAAGAGCATTTTCCCATTGTAACATTGACTAGGGAAAAAATGTCAATGACAGTATAAAGATAAGTATCACAACTATGTTCTCATAGCACATTCCAGTCCACTGAAACAGGGCCAGATCTTCCACTGCACACCAGAGCAGGAAACAGCTAAAACTAGCTTGCTGCAGCAGCCAGAAAGCTCTGGTAAGAGACGACATGTTCAGGTCATGTTCCAAAACAGGAGTACTGCTTCTAAAAGGTAAATGAAATCTGCCTTCAAATCTTCCCTGAAAGAGTAACTGTGTGCCAGAGGGCCCACACAGAGACTGTGCCACTGAATTCCCACCTAAGCCTTCCAGGTAGGCTTATCTGAGATTCAAGCATCTCATAAAGCCACGTACACCAGGCTGATCATCACTTACAGTGAATTCCATCCAAATAAATATGTATATGGCCACCACTGTAACTTACGCTTTCTCTTATCCAGTAGTGCAGTGAATAGAAGAACATGATAATCTCAACATACTTGCCAAACTCTGACCTGAAGAGAACTGGTCCTGAACCCCCTGAGGAGCTATGGGAAACTCACCGGTATGTTTTCTGCCGCGTCTCAAGCTCTTTGCGTCTGTGCTGCTTCAGAATCTGGGTCTTGTCATCCCGAGCGAGTTTTGCTGTCAAAGAAGGGAAAAAGATAGGACTATAAGTTTCCTCTACCTATCACAGCACAGGTCTTGAGAAGGAGGACAAAATTTCCAAACCTTCGAACGCCTGACCTATACCTTTACAAAGTTTCTGTGTGAAGTGCTTACACAATCCATCTTAGTACCTGGAGTAGAAACACAGCTGCCTAGAGTATCTCTGGAAGGAGAAAAGCTTCTAATTTAATACCTCCAAGGGGCAATTATCTCAAGCTAGGAACATCTGTCTCAACTGCATATAAAACCTGGATTCCTAACATAGACAATTCCTGTACATACCTAATGTTACATGCTCTTAATAGGGTCATGGGAATGAACTTTTTTATTTCATTATCTAAGGGAATTTTCATCAATAACAGAAATCACAAATTTTTCCAGCTAATATTGTCTGCTAAAAGACATCTCCAGGAAACTTCTCCTGTCCTCTCTTCTTGAGTTGTGGTCGCCACTATCAGCTTGGGGCAATACTCATATCTTCTTATCATGAGAACAGAAAGAAAAACCAGTGAGACTTCATTTCCAGACAGCTTGCCCTTCTGATCATGTATTCACTATACCATTAAATAACAAAGGAATTTCCTTGGTCATTGGAGAAAGGGCAAAATATGTGACTCACTTTACATACACAAATGGGAAGACAGATAAAGCCAGCAGGAGTTTCATGGAAATATCTCTTTCAGGTTTGGAGTTGGAAATATCAGAGGTAATACAACTGATAACATATATGGCTAATGTTTTCCAGCTGGCTGTGCTCAAGCTACTGACAGGATTTTACTTGTTTTTGTCCTTTACCTCACAATACTCTGAAAGCCATGCAAAGCTCCTTTCTACAAAAGTGTTACAGTTCTTATATATAAAATTATGAAAATGCAAATTCCCTCTGGAGACCAAAAATAAACAGACACGTAGTTGTGTTTATAGGACAAGAGGCTTCAAATGAAAAATTCCTCAGCAAGGAGTAGCCAAAAACTTAATGGGATGATAAACATTTATTTCTTACCACCTCACATATTGCTTCAGCTGTTTTTAGGCACTCATGCACAGCCACTACAGCAGCCAGCCTACCCTAGGAAGCACAGGGGGTGAACAATCAAATATCAGTGACAACTGTCTCTGCCAACCCTGACCACAGCCAGTATGTAGTCAGAGACAGTTAAAACACAAGTTTCAGGTCCAACAAGCCACTCTGACCAGAGCAGAGAAGTGCTGTAGCACTTTTCTCAGTTGGTCACCACTACTTGCAGCAGTCATATCCATCTCACCCTGCCTTCCCTGACACCATGAAAAGAGTAGGGGTGAGAAGTGCATCTGCTGTTTCAAGTCCCCTGCTAAGCAGCCCACTTTGGGATTTTATTTCACTCTCAAGAAAACAAGACAATTTACAGGCAGTTAATCATGGGATTCTCGGGAACTTAGTATGAAATAAAGTTGAGACAATAATCCTAAGTAGATCAGAAGGGCTTCCAGCAATCCAGACCTGGAGCAAACAAAAATTTGGCATTAGGGTCAGCCTTGAAACTCAAGATCAGTGTAATAAACCAGCATATGGACTCTTTGCATGTGCTTCTAAAAATATTTAACCCAACTGACAGTGCTCAGCCCAACAAACTTCTCATAAAGCAGTCCTAATCAGCAGGGAAAGCCCATTCTTTAGGATGCAGAAAAGAAGTGGCAGTGGGTCTCCATCTGAGAGAGAAGACTGGGAGGTACATGGGGAAAGGGGAAGGAGAGGTGGAAGAATTCTGGATATTCTGCAGGAAATTTGATTTCTTATGGTTCTCACCTCTTCCATCTCGAAGGACAATCTCCTTTTCATCTGTAATCCAACGGTAACAAGGGAACTCCAAATAGTCACCCATTGGTGTTTTTACAGTGATATACTTAAGGTACCAGTCATCCTGGTACCAATATTTTCGTTTCTCAATTTTTAGTAGCTGAATTTCTCCAAGGTCTTCTTCCACGGACACATCATAGGAGTCAACCTGCAGATCAGAACACAGGCAATGATCCACTGCACATTCAGGAAGCACAGTCAGCACTACATGAGCATATCTGCCCCTTCCTGATATGGCAGTGGCATGACAGAACTTTCTAGCTTCTGGTGAGTGAGAAAAGGGAGACCTATTCTTGGACTGCAATGCAACAGGAAGATTAACAGAAGAGCAAACAAGAACATGTGAAACATTCCAGAAACAGAGGAACATTTTTGTATGCAGCCTAAAAAAAACAGTTAATCAGTGGGCTGGAACATCTTTCCTATGAGGAGAAGCTGAAAGAGTTGGTGTTGTTTAGCCTGGGGAAGAGAAGACTCCAGGGAGACCTTATTGTGGCACTCCAGTATCTGAATAGGGCCTACAAGAACGCTGGGAAGGGACTTTTCACAAGGACTTGTAGTGATAGGATGAGGGGTATTGGCTTCAAACTGGAAGAAGGGGGATGTAGCTTAGAAATTAGGGAGAAGTTCTTCACTGTGAGGGTGGTGAGACACTGGAACAGGTTGGCCAGGGAAGCTGTGGATGCTCCATCACTGGAGGTGTTCAAGAAAAGGTTGGATGGGGCTTTCAGCAACACGGTCTAGTGGCAAGTGTCTCTGCCCATGGCAGGGGGCTTGGAACTAGATGGTCTTTAAGGTATCTTCCAACCCAAACCATTCTGATTCATACTCTCACAATTTTTGTCAGCATGGTCAACAGTCTTAGAAATCAACCAGCTGCTGATACCAAAGGGCTGAGGTACTGCATCAAGGTGCTGCAATGCCTGTAGAGACTCACCTGCCTGTGTGAGCTTTGTCATTTGGCTCCTGCCCTAATCACACTCTGCTTGTTCTTTTCAGGAGCACTTTATGAGCCTTTGAAAGGCATTTGAGATATGCCCAGTATTACTGTCTTACTTGCTAGGGAAAGGCCAATTCAAATAAAGACCAAAACTGGAAAGTGAAGAAAGATTAAATTCCTTACAAGAGAAAGAAGGGAAAAAAACCCAAACAACCAACCAAACAATAACAACAACAACAACAACAACAAAAAAACCAAGTAACTTTTAAATGTGTCCAGGTAGCACTTATTATTTCAACTGTTACAAAAGATTCATAGTAACTTTCACTCACATGATTGGAAGAACACACATAAGAAGGATCCCCTGGCATCCCTTCCTCTCCCATTTTAACCCAAGTTTACAGATGCAAAGTACCCAGTTCCTATGAGCTATCCATGAATTACCAGCTGTGGTGATAATTTTGGGATAAAGACACTTATCTGTCCACCAAAGTTTGGGATGACAGACCTCAATTCTCTCATAATCCATTACATACAAATACCAGCTTTCATCAAGTTTGTCACATCTAATTGACTTATAGAAGCCAGAGAAAAATACAAAAAACCTTTAGTTTTTGAAGTCCATCTTGCAAACAAAAAAACATTGTCCTTGCCTGTCCTTCCCCAAATATGTTCTTCAATCAACTTTGAAACTCTCAGGCCAGCTTTCATAAAGTTTGTCACATCTAATTGACTTACTTATAGAAGCCAGAGAAAAATAAAAAAACCCTTTAGTTTTTGAAGTCCATCTTGCAAACAAAAAAACATTGTCCTTGCCTGTCCTTCCCCAAATATGTTCTTCAATCAACTTTGAAACTCTCAGGCCATGATTACTGCATAGCAACTAAAATGAAGCTGTTTCATGCTAACAAGGATGTTGGATTTTCTTCTAATATACACCCTAATTTGATTTTAGGCTCAAATATTTAAAATGGGCATGAATGGTGTTTATTTTGGTTTGCTGAGCTATAGTCTTCCCATCCCTATTAAAGCAAGAGACATTAAACTGTCTCTTTTTTAAAAGGAAGACCACCATGTCTTTAATAAAAAATTGCAATGTTTATATCAATAGCACACCCATACACACAGGTGATAGCAGACTGCTTCACAAACAGCATGGTGGTCGTTGGCAAGCTTGGGATGACAGCATCTGAGCTGAGAGACAACACTCACAGAGCTGAGACTCCAGCCCACACATTAAAATCATGCTTGTCACTTTTCCTTGCATCTCCATAGCAGGAAATAACGAGTTCTTTTTGTAGAGCCAACAAATATACTAATATTAAACATTTTTTGAAAGTTTATGTTGCCAACTCTTTAACACCTCCACGCCTGCCACTATCCCAGATAGCTTAAAAGGATAATTTGTAAAGGTCAGTTCATTCCCTTGATGATTCATGATTTTGAAACAACCGTGGAGACTGAAAATGTTGAGTGGCTTTTCTCAGAAAGCACATTAATAGTGCCTGGACTCACAGCTATGATAGTCAGAGACTGTAGGACATAAGTCTGTGCTCCTAGCAAAGTGAACGAAGATTCCTCCTTTCTACAATGCTGGTTTCAGAAACCACCCTGATCTTTGCCTATCACCCCACTCCCGATATCCTCAGCTTCATTCATGTCAGTTGGCACAAAGAATTCTGGAAGATGGCTGGAAAATGTAGATAACATGCTCAGATTCCTTCCTATTCTTCAAATCTTCTTTCCAGAAATAGGCAGCACTTGAACCATTTCTATTTCATATTAATTTCCCAGTGACTCCTGGTTTAATAAAAACAGTGTAAATAAATAAACTCTTTACTAGGCTCAGGTTTCATACTGAGTCATTACTTCTGCAATTTTGTATGTCTTTCCAGGACCAGATGGGACTGTGCAGAAAAGTTCCTCATCACAGACTACCATGCCATGTATCTCAGGCTCAGACACTTCCTGCTTGTGCACCTCGTTATGCAATTACAAAACAAAATGAATCCTCTCTTTCAATTTTACCACGATCATTATTGCATTGGGCAGTCAGGAGCTGGAAGGAGCCACCTTGCAGAGAGACAGTCCAGACAAATCCACAAACCTGTGTCAATTATTACCCGTTTGTGTTCATCACTATAAAAGGGATTTAAACATGTGAAGACCAATGCAATAACCTATAGAAGCAAATAACAAACTGCACCTGGATCAGATTAGCTTTGTATTCAGCTACTTGGGATTTTTATGCTCTAGCATCTCACTCTTTTCCAGTTCCAGTGCTAGTTGTGGACAGAGGAAGAATAAGGTGACCAAAGACACTGTCTGGATAGGAGAAACATACTTCATTATTTTTAGCTCAAGTCCTCATGAAATCTCATTGCTGTTAAGTGATTAGTATGGTACAGATGTCCCACGCATCTGAGATGACAATTCTGGCTCATCCGAGATGACTGTTTTGCTAATGCTGTAAAGGTGTGCCAGGTTACAAAGACAGTACAAGGTCCAGGTAAGAATTGGCAGTTGGTTGCTCAAGGTTTCTACAGCATTTGTTGTACCAGGTCTCAGGCTAAACACGTGGCATCCCTGATGACTACACGGTGAGCCAGAGGTGCTAGGAGCTTTTACAGCATTTAAATTCAGAGTGAGGGAACAGAATTAATGAAGACTACGGGACTGTCCAAACTCCTGTAGCATCCTGTTCAAGCAATTTAATTGCATGCAAAAACCTGAGCTTTTTCTGTCTGAGGGAAGACTCCTACTGACTAGCCCAATATTGCAAAAAAGATGACACAGACAACCCCTCTTTATATAAGTAAAGTGGGGAGGAAAAAAAAGTGTTTCCCTTCTCTTTTTGTGTTCCTTTCAATGAAAGCAAAAAGCAGGTGAAGAGGTGTCATAGTTTAACCCTGGCCAGTAACGAAGCACTACACAGCCAGTCCCCAGCGGGGTGGAGGAGAGAATCAGAAGAGTAAAAGTGAGAAAACTCACAGGTTGAGATAAAGACAGTTTAATAAGTAAAGCAAATGCTGAGCATGCAAGCAAAGCAAAACAAGGAATTCATTCCCTGCTTCCTGTTGGCAGGCAGGTGTTCAGCCATCTCCAGGAAAGCCGGGCTCCATCACGCGTAACGGTTACTTGGGAAGACAAAGGGCATCACTACGAATGTCTTCCCCCTTCTTCGTCCCCCAGCTTTACATGCTGAGTATGATGTCATGATATATGGCATGGAATATCCCTTTGATCAGTTAGGGTCAGCTGTCCCAAACATGTCCCCTCCCGATTTCCTCTGCACCTCCACCCTACTGCTGGGGTGGTGTGAGAAGCAGAAAAGGCCTTGACTCTGTGTAACTTCATTATATTATCAATGCTGTTTCCAGAACAAATCCAAAACATAACCTTATACTAGCTACTGTGAAGAAAATTAACTCTACCCCAGCCAAAACAAGCACAGGGGGTAGCAGGAAAAAAACAGAGAACTGAGTGACACTGTAATGCTTGCTTTGAACTCACTCAGCACCAACAGGAACTTAGTCAAAAAACAATGAGTAAAGAAGAACAGCTATAGCTTTTTGCATCACCTGTGCCCAGTACTTGGAGTAAGTCTGACAAGAACAACAACTGAGCTACCATTGTGCAAATCCCTTCATGTTTTCCTGTGTCCCTTCCCCTCAGTCAACATTCGGCATGCAAATCTCCTGCTCAGAACTGGTCCAAGTCATCATTCATCATATCCAGCAACACACACAATTTGCATTAATTCAAATAAAGACACTGCCAGGATAATGGAACTACTGAGTCTAGCCCAACATTTACCAAAAATATCTAGAAAGTAGACAAAGCCTTAAAAGATAACATTGTAAAATTCCAGTCATCCACTGAAAAAGTGAATTTTTTTTTCCAGATGTGTTCACAATTGCATTACATTGGAAAAAAATAGAAAATTATAGAGATACTATTGAAAGAAACATTAAAGGCAGAATTGTGAAACCAGTTGCTACATTCTATAAACCAGCCAGCCTGAAACTCTTTTGACCTGCTTCAGTTTTATTGTTTTGATTCTGTATTGGTATTTTTCTTTTCTTTACTTCTTTCTTTGCACAATGTACTAGTAAGATTCAGTGTTTTGGGCACAATGTTACCTGAACCTGGAGAAAGACACTGCACTTCTCAAGAAAACACCCTTAATAACAAAACTTAGCACATCA